TCATATTAGTGACAAACTTTGGTGTTTTTTGACAAGTTACTTTAATTTTTTTTTCCTTATACTTTTCATTTAAAATAAGTTTCCATTCTCTGCAGCTTTCTAAGGTTCTTCTTCTACATATTAAAAAAGTTGTTAAACAACTGAGTGGTGCACTATTGCTACTAGTGGTTAGAAAGTGTATTGCACCTTATTCAAAACAATGCGGTCCCGCGGCCCAAAGTTAAAAACTGTTGTTCTTTTGAGGCCCTCAAGGTGGCACTTGTGGGCCGCGGCACATAGGTTAAGAATCTCTGTTTTACAGCAGCCAGCTCACTTTGTCATACCAGGACAGCTGAAAAGACCTGTTATTTCCCCACTGTGGGATCAATAAAAAGTTTTTTTTATCTTACTTTTCCCCACATTTTGCACCAAATTAATCTGAGGAGTTGATCTGCCCTGCTGTTTAACTCTAAGTTTTTCTTTGTAAACAAGACTATGAAATGGCTTCACAAAAATCCGCTCCACAACATTCAAACTGTCTGCCATTATGTGCAGCTTGTTACTGGCGCGAGGCTAGAGTTAAGTGTGTCCGCCTGTGAGTGCTTTATGACGGTGAAGGGGCTCAGCAGCAGCACTCGCTGGACAGAAAAAGTCAGAAAGAGTGATAGAAGTTCGTCTCCAAACATAAGCAGCTACAGAAATAACACCAGAAATAGAAGTCTGATTTGTCACTAGTCGTTTTTAACAAAGAAAATGCTGCTGAAAGGATTAATAAAGTCTCTGCTTCAACTCCGAACAGAAACGAAACTAAAAACTGCTCCCATGCATGAAAAGATCGCTGATTCGCTCATTTTGCTGTCAATCAAAAAGGGGATTAGCCTCGGACAGATCATCCAATCATCATGCAGACGATGAGCGTCCGGGCCAGCCCCCTGCCCCATAGACCCCCAGAGACGCTCAGCGTCCGATGGGCGGGACAAAGCCAGCATTTATCCAATGACTTGTCTCGTTTTACTGCAGTCTCTTCATGGCTAATGAGCTCTTTAGACGCTCAGCGTCTGACTGTTTAAAGCACCGTGAAGCTGTGGGAATGAGTGAAATGAGGAAAGCTGCATCATTGCCAGTGATAAGAAGCTGATTCTGAACAAAAGTTGAGCGTGATGTAGCGCATATTTAGTCAAAGGCATGTACACACAATAGTATATATTNGCCTCTTGCAGCGTCTGGGAAGTAGCAGCTGCTATAGTTTGCGTCTCGATGCTAGCATGACTAGCTTCTGCTTCGGCTAATTTAGCTTGTCCAGCGCGGCCCGCGGGGGCGTCAGTAACTTGGCTTTTTTTACGTGGCATTTCGTCGGGCTGTCTCAGAAAATAGCTGTTAATGCTCATATTAAAGTGGTACACTTCGTGTGACCTGGAGCTGTTGTATATGACAGGTTAAAATCAGTTATTAGCAAATTTCTGCGTCTGCTCTCCCGAACGTGACCGATCCTYACGCCGCCATCTTGAGACTCGTCTATGTGCAGCTTGTTACTGGCGCGAGGCTAGAGTTAAGTGTGTCCGTCTGTGAGTGCTTTATGACGGTGAAGGGGCTCAGCAGCACCCGCTGGACAGAAAAAGTCAGAAAGAGTGATAGAAGTCTGTCTCCAAACACAAGCAACTACAAAAACCCACCAGAAATAGAAGCTTGATTTGGTGCTAGTCGTTTTTAACAAAGAAAATGCTGCTGAAAGGATTAATAAAGTCTCCAGTTCAACTCCGAACAGAAACTAAACTAAAAACTGCTCCCATGAATGAAAAGATCGCTGATTCGCTCATTTCGCTGTCAATCAAAAAGGGGATTAGCCTCCGACAGATCATCCAATCATCATGCAGACAATGAACATCCGGGCCAGCCCCCTGCCCCATAGACCCCCAGGGACGCTCAGCATCCGATGGGCGGGACAAAGCCAGCATTTATCCAATGACTTGTCTCATTTCACTGCAGTCTCTGCATGGCTAATGAGCTCTGTGGACACTCAGCGTCCGACTGTTTAAAGCACCGTGAAGCTGTGGGAATGAGTGAAATGAGGAAAGCTGCGTCGTTGCCAGTGATAAGAAGCTGATTCTGAACAAAAGTTGAGCGTGATGTAGCGCATATTTAGTCAAAGGCATGTACACACAATAGTATATATTTGATCTTTTTTTTTTTACATTTTAGGGGAAGCTGACCTTCCCTTGCAGTCTTAGAGAAATCGCCTCTGGTATTCAGGCAGGAGTATTCTGCCTTTGGCTGCACAGAAAGTGCCTCCTCACATGCCAACATTTTGTAATCCTCAGGTTCACAGCCACAGAAACCGGGTGTCCCACAACCCCATGAAGATAAAGGTTCCTGAGGGCCAGTGGTCGGGCCCCCTGCACTACACCCGCCAGCGTATGTCCCTGTTTGCTGTGACGTGCATCGAAACGAGCCACTACGTGAGCTTTGTCAAGAACGGACCTCAAGACACAGACTGGTTGTTTTTTGACAGCATGGCAGACCGAGAAGGTGCACGAACAGAAACTCTAAACTTTTTGTTTGGTTTTAAAGAGAAATCAGACTCATTGTAACATTACACATTATTTGATAAACATTTACTTCAACTGTAAAACAAAGACTGTAAAAATACTGTAGACTTTAGTTTTTTAAATTTAAGAAAATATATTGTCTTACGAACAGCAACATTTTATTAATGGGTAAATGATGTTCAATAGGTGTTCCAGTGTGAACTCTATCCAGCTTGAACGTTAATTTTGGACAATGTCTGACATGCAGCTTCTTTAAAAAACCTGAGGAGAAGGTAGAAATGACTCAGCCTGTAAATGAAAATGTAGATGGAGGCCAACAGAGCAGCTTCATGGAAGGAAAACCTTGGCTTGGCTTGTTAGCACTGAGCTAACACACATATATATGGCGATATAGTGTTAGCCCCTGAGCTAATATACTGCTATGTAGCATTAGCACCTGAGCTAACACACATGTATATGGCAATATAGTGTTAGCGCCTGACCTAATATACTGCTTCAGTGGGGAAAATAAGTATTTAGTCAGTCACCAATTGTGCAAGTTCTCCCACTCAAAAAGATGAGAGAGGCCTGTAATTGACATCATAGGTAGACCTCAACTATGAGAGACAAAATGTGAAAAAAATTTTGAGAAAATCATTTTGTCTGACTTTTAAAGAATTTTTTTTTTGCAAATAATTGTAACGGCTAGGAGGCAGGGTGAACCCAATTG